CCGGGTCCTGGCGACAAAATTGCTCAATTTATCGCCGAAGCTGGAAGCCAGGAGGTCCAAATTTGGGATTCCCCATCTGCTACAGAAGTCTTGAAACGCGGGTAAAGGGACTGTTCCCCTAAGTCAAGATGTTGATGACTGAGGAGGTCCATCTGCCAATTTTAATGCTGAGAATGCGCATTATGGACAGTGCTGTAGCGTAGAGCTCTGCCCTAGCCAGAAAATGGTCGGCTTCTTCTTAAGCTGCAAGACTTCTGGTTCCTTCCTGATGTGTGATGTACATGACAGAATGCAGGCTTGGAAAATTTTGAAAGTACAAGGTTTAGGATGAGATTCGGTCCTCGGCTTGACCTTGGACTTGAAGAAACTAAAGGTCTGCTTCTTATTTTGATGGGGCAATAGGTGTTCTTTCCTCCTATCTCTTGCTTCATAAATTTGCCTGTGACACATGAAGTGTTGCAGCACAAAGCTCTAGAGCATTAACTCTGAGGTGAATAGCTGGAGACACAGTTAACGCATGCCAGACTCCGCAAAGGGCAAGGTCCTAGACTTACTGCAGTAGTGGTTTGGAAGCTCCATGTGGCCACAGTCACAGTCACAGTAACCAGGACTGGTGATCACCAATGCAGGGCCTAGGGAAACAAAGCCCATCCCAAACAGTCTTTACGCCACCGTTAGACATACTCCCTAAGGGGTCTTTAAGGATGGGATTCAACCAGATGGGTGCATCACTGGACCTGTAAAGCTCTCTGCGGCTAATTCATTAAGCACACAAAAGGGGAATTTATCAACACTGGAGCAGACAAAATCTGGAGCAGTTGCCAAAGACAAGCAATCAGCTTCTCTCTTCAGTTTGTTCAGGTTAGATTTGAAAATGAGAGAAGCTGATTGGTTGCTGTGCACAGCTGCTCCAGTTTTTGTCTGCTCCAGTTTTGATAAACTGCAAAGTGAGTTCTTCCACCTCTGCAGCATCTGGAGAATCTTAATAGACGAAAAAACAATCTTGAAAAAGATGTCAAGTCAAATAAACAGGTTTGCTTCTGTATGAGGCAAGCAGATGTTGATTCTCCTAGAACACTAGCAAAAAACTGAAGCATGATGGTAGTGGAAGGAGTTATACTGTCTGTACATCAATTCTTTTGTGGCTAGTGTCCAATTCTCCTGGGGGTGGCAGTATAACCCAGTTGTCTAAGAATCACTCTACCATGGAGAACCTTACGGCTGAGCTGAAGGACACGACTGGTTCATTCGCACATACATGGTTCTACTGGGACCAATTTGTAGACTCCCCGGATTACACAACGCTCCTTTAGTGCCGTGTCAGCTGCTGGGCTCCGCTGTCCCCAGGGGGCGATGGGCTTCTTTTCTCTATATTCCTTTTCTTTGACATACTTGTCTATGACCTTTCTCTTCTTCCTCCTTCCACTCTTCTTCCTTGGCTGCTTTCTCGTGTTTTACTACTAACAATACTCGTCATATCTTCTGTTACTCTTTGTGTGTTTATAAAATTTGAAAATCTCCACTGATTTACGGGCGCAATGATGTGTACTGTAGACCTGGGACCACACGAGGCAGACTGTGATGTGCGATCGCTTCCTATATTTTCACTGCTTATTCTGCTTATGGAACCTATTGTGTCTTGGTACATGTACAAACGCTATCCATAGAGTTTATATTTTTTTTCTTGTACTGCCTGTATGTCAGAGGTCTTTAAAATAAAGAATTTGAAAAAAAGAATCACTCTACCCTATGTACCTTAATGAACGATTAAGGAACTTTGTTTTCTTATGTTTTATTTTTTCTTTTAAAAATGTGCATGCAAAACACGAGAGCTACAGCTAATTAGTCAAACCTTAGTATTAGCCTAAGTATAGTACCTTAGGGAAATACATAAGCACTTTCTCTTACAAAGTTCTCCTGCAGTTTACATGATGAGGATACCTAAACTAACAAATCCCCTAGGCAGTACTAATTCCTGCTTTCAAGTGGTCATTTGAGATACAAATGCATTGTTTCTGCAAGAGGTAGAATCACAATAGAGCCTGGAACAATATAACTGTGGCCACAATCCATTCTCCGACTTGTACTGAAATTGTATACATGAATGCAAAAAGGACATTACCATCACCTCATGCCTGTAAAAAAAAATACACACTCGTTTCAGGTCAAATGTACTGTTCTACTAGGACAGTAATATGATTTATGCCACTCTAGAAATGATGCCGTTTGACAGATTTAATAAAGCAAGAATCTGTTTTTCCTAAATGCTCCCTTGATGCTTTTTTTTACTGAGCTTTGTCTGCTAAAAAGTAGGATTATCGTTTTTGTCAAGGTTAAGTCAGAATGCTTTACATATTGTTCCGCTCCCATGGTATATATCAAGGTCTGCTATTGTTTGAGACTAATCACCGGCCCACCCCTTTGTCCTATTGTTCCTTATGCATAAAAATAATATGCAGATGTGGCAAGTTAGAACGGGATTTTCATTCAGCCGATGAAAGTCTGGTGATTTATAGCATTTTGGGGACAGTGCAAATGAGAACCACAAAAGCAATAAGACTGCATACTGGAATCACTGGAATGCATTTGCATATTTATGAACGGGCCAATGAGCAGCAGCTGTCATAGTGCCATATCATGTTGAGAGAGCACTGTCATATCATCATGTACTACCAAGGGGAAGAAACGTGACTCACAGTGACGCCTACACAACTACTTTATGGAAAAACCTACTGAAAAATACTGACAGTTTTAAACACTAACTAACAACTAAAGCTATGTAATTTAGAAGAGAGCGTACCTATGGCACTTTCTGTGCTAATGCTCAGGGGTTTAAATGAAGGAGGGGCCCATGGCAGATGTTCAAAAGTAGTTACATAGGGTGATGAGAAGTAAGGTGGGAAGAATAAGGGCAACAGGACTACTTCTGTACGGTAAAATGTTTAACATAGACCAAAACTTAAAAGGTTAACATTTGCTATGTTATAGGGAACACCTAAAAATGTTAATAGTGCTTATGCATGAGATTTGGTGTGAGAGGTGGTGAGGTCACTATTCAGATGATCACTTTCCTGAAGGCTTGCTGGACAGAAAGCTTTACTTGCGGACCCGGGGTGCAAAAATCCTTCTGCTTCAATCATTCTGTGGATCAGTGCTTTGCAGACTCAAGAGAGGGTTGATTGAGGTATGCTTCCAGAAGGCTCTTTAACTTGCCCGTGTTGTTTCCCTTTGCATTGCTCAAGTGACTTTGAGCTGTCTCTGAGCTTCTTCAAATTACTTTTGTGTTCACATTGACTTGCATATGAAAGCATTTGAGATACAATTATATGCCTGTGTACATGAGCCATAAGGCCCAACACTGCCTTTCTGACAAAGCTGATATTGTGATTTAGTATTCTGTCGCTATCTGTACGTGTGTGCAATGTACACATTATTGTGCATTGTTGATTGCACTCACTCTGGCTGATTGAAATGTCAGAAATGCTGAAAATCCTGACCACCCAGTGTCCTAGCAACCAACCAATGATGTGTTGACTACCTGCTCTTCCCAGCATCCAACCTGCTGACATCATTCAACCACCCTGGCAGCGGGTGGTTGGTTGCAAGGATGCCAGGCAGTCCTAGCAACTAGCACCAGCAGCAGTGGAAGTTGACAGCAGCAGTTTGCCGACCCACGGAGCAGTGCCCACCTTCAAGTGGTGCCCAGGGCATGTGTGGATATGCCACTGGTACCAATACTGCAGGGCCAGTTCATTCTCAACCTAACCACTGAACCATCACATTCTCAAACAATTCATCCCCACACAGCTACCTCCTCATGTATCATTTCCCCCTCCTCTTTCAGATTGTAAGCCCTCAGGGGCAGGGCCCTCCTTACCATCCTGTCTTGAATTGTATTGTAATTGTATTTTCTTCCTTATATTGTAAAGCGCTGCACAAACTGTTGGCGCTATATAAATACTATGTAATCATAATAATTCTAATGCTTCCCCTAAGCTCCCACTCGGGAGATTACATAAAAATAAGATATTAGTAATTTGAAAACATGAACACTGAGTCTGTTCATTGTGCTTCTCTCACAATATGTATAAAAGCCCTCAGATTTAGGTATGACATTAAAAGAACTTTCTGTTCATGTTGGTCCAATCCTATGTAAGCAATATTTCTACAAAGGTCATTTGCACTCTAAGCTAAGAACATCATGACTGGAACTTGCCATTGCTCAGATAGTGCCAGAAGTTATACAGTTCAAGAAGACTAATATGTCTTAGGGCTGAACCTTGTACTTAAAGTGCCATTTATCCTGGAAGTGCAGAGGCGTTGGCAGCGCCTCCGAGATGCCAATTTAAAAAAGGTCACATCAGAACACAGTTCAAGTCAGTAAAGTTATAAATGGCATGTACAATTACAAGCAACCAAAACAAAGTGAGAAGAGATAGCTCTGCGGAAGGCTTTAATCCTGCTGCCTATCAATATTCTGTCTGCAATAGAAAGAAGACCCTAGCACTTGTCCCAAAATAAAATTGTTCATTTTAAATGTAATTGCTCATTTGTGACAACAGAAGATTCCTTTATAAGCTGTATTGCCTTTCTTTCTTTTCGTATACTCATTCTGAATGTGTGACTTGATAAAGAATACAAGAATAAAGAGAGGAGAAACAAAAAAAGATAAAAGATTGGAAGGGAAAAGGCAGTATATTCCATTTGTCAGGTATTTATCCATCAATGTGAGTTGTTTCTACCTCTTTTCAGCACTATCTGCTTTTTAGGGGGAAAGGCTGACTTAAAATATAGTTATAAAGTAATCATTATACTTTTTTGACCCTCAGGTTGTCACATAAAGTATTGCAACGCAATGCGTTGAGGACACCTGACGCCAGAAGGAGTAGAATGATAAGTGAGGCTTGCTCTTATTTATGCATTGTGCCAGCTGAAAAAAGTCTCTCAGTCTGTTCAGGATATGCCGTGAATATTTTTCATGCTCCCTGCACACCCCTTACCTTTCTGTCGATGCAAGCCACCGAGCGCCCAGCAAACCGGCTCACAACCCCTCGCCGCATGTTAACCTCGTCACTGAGGATGTCTTCCCAGCGTCCATTTCGAAACTTGAACAGCTTATCCGAGTATGTTGCCATACCTGGAGAAGAAAAAAAACTATGAAACAAATGCTTGGCTTCAAAGATCAAAGAACATCAAGATAAATCGGACAGAGATTGGCTAATAATGTTTAGAGAACATGGAAAATGAGTATGGTAGTCCAGAAGCTACCTAATTTACCTTTAAGCTAGGGTCTATAGTATAGACTCTATACTGTAAATTCCAATGCAGGTCTTCTCAGAGCTTTTGGGTGGAACAGGAAATCGGATTTTGTGATATACAACTTAATTTATGGGTGCGACTACTATAAGCCTCACCCATAAAGTATAACCGCACTCTTGGTTTAAGCTTCACTCATTTTACAGTACTACCAGCCCCATACCCTCTCAATTTTATAGCTGTCCTCTTAGTGCCTCAGTTACCTCAAATTCTGGGCACCCTGATATACCAATTGTAACACTTCAGGTATCTTATTGGCCCATCACTATGATGGGTAGTCTTAACTGGCCAATAGAAGAATCAGGACACTTGGAGAGCTTAGCCAGATTTTTGATGCATGTGCGGCCACTACTAGATGCCTGCATATATGTCCAAGGGTCAGTTTACTCCTTTTAGTGCTGCAATTTGTCAGTAACTGTCAGGATCCAGAGCACCTCCAGGTGGCACTAGAGCCAGGTCCTGCACTTCCTGTGCTCACCTGCGGGTGTCTCCAGCAGCCAGGAACTGTCAGGTACCAGACCACCACTGGGTGGTGCTGGGACCTTCAACTCCGGCGCTCACCTGCGGGTGCCTCCCAGCTGTCAGCAATCATCCACTCTCTTGTGCTTCCTGGGAGGGTATTTAATCCCTCCCTGCCATCAGGACTGTGTCTCAGTATCCTGTTGTTTCCTGTGAATCCAGAGTCCCCAGTCCTGTTACCTGCCTCCAGTCCTGAGCCTTGTCCCTTGGCCCCCCTTGTCTTGCCCTGCTCCCTAGGTTACCCGCTTTGTATACCCTGGGTTTGTATTGCTCCTGTTATCTTTGTATGGGGTTGTGGCTATGTTTAGTTGATGCCACTTACTTATTTACGTTTGCTGTTGGGTGTTATGTTTAGTTTTTGTGCTGTTTTTAGTGCTGTTTTCAATAAATGGTATACAACTCATTTGATCTTGTCTAGTGTGGTCACACTAATTTGGTCCTCCTGCGTGGGTACCTGCATGCGGTGTGAGGACACCTGCGCATGGTACCCTGACAACAACAGATTTGTCTTTTGATAAAATTTGTATGGTCTGACTCGGGCTCACTAAGAACATAAAGGTACCAGCAATACAGGTATTGAGCCAATTCGGGATACAGATGTTGAAGCTAAGTACCAGGATAAAAGCTAGAGCCATTCAGTAGGTGGGGCTCCTTTAAAGTTTTTTTTTTTACAATGACAAAAACAAAATCAAATGCATTTTATAATTGGCAACTATAAAATATGTCAGAAACATAAAAAGGGAAACATTTAAAAAAATGAAAGTAGACCACCAAGATATGTTTCCATCACTTCATCATCTATTGTCATATTTTTAACCATATCTTGATTGGGTAAAAGGTTAAAAAAAATAGACCAGCTTTTCAGGAGCCAATATTTATATTTATCTTTGAGCCAAATCTGACATTTAACAAGAAACCCTAAATAAAGTTTGGCTTTTCTGAAAACCAATTAAAGAAAATGTATACTGTCAGCAAAATATATCCCTGTTGAACAGTTCTAACTGCTCTGAGATCAGATCCCCTGATGACACCATCAATGTAATTCCGCAATCACAGGCAGGACTGGGCAGGGTATGACGATTAAACTCCGGACAGGCAGCTGTCAGGCTATAGGAGCAAAGGGTGTCTAGGCAATGTCACATCTCAACTTTGTCCGGGCCCTAAAATGCTCTATTCACGCCTTGATACGTCATGATACATTTATATGCATGATAATGTACACTGATGGACATCTTAACACATGCATTGAGATATGTTTTGTGTGAGGGCTCTGATGGTGTGGGTAGGCAATGAGCCCAAATAGGTGGGTAAACCTTGAAAGGGCAATGGGCTATCGGGAAGCTCTGAATGGCAAAGTGACCTGGTACTTTTTAGACTGGATTCTCACCTTTGTGTTTTACCATGATGTGTTATGCATCATAACTCATCATAACAGGCAACAATACACATTGATGTGCATCTTAATTAATGCGTTGAGATATGTTTTGATGCACTTCTATTGATTTTAACGGAAAAAACACATCAAGCAGAAAAGGTGTAAATCCATCCTAAATAGACTAGGCCACTTTTCCATTTAGGGCAAAGTGACAGTGCCTCCTGATAACCAATCTCCCAAAGTAAGATATACTCATCTATGTGGGCACCTTCACTGCTTACCCAATCCATCAGAGCCCTTAAACGTTTGCTCTAATGAAGTGAGGTATATTCCCAACTTCACAGGTCCCCTTGAAATATAATATAAATAGATAAATATAGACTGTAGGGAGCACAGGCTCAACTTGTAGTGCAGTAAACCATGCAGGAGACAGAGAAACCTTTTATTCATCAAGGTAGCAAACAAACACATTTCAATGGAGGAGTGCATTGCACAAGTCCATAGCATAAAACACATGAAATATCTGCTCGTCCAATCACAAACTAAACCTAGGTCATTTCCTGATAACAAAGTACCCCCTAATGGGTTCCCTAAAACAAACCAGCTGCTCTGGTACCTTTTTTAGTGTTTTGTTAGCCTTTTCACACAGCAGCAGGCTCCCACAGCAGAGAGAGTGAGCGAAAGAGTTCCCTTTGAATCTAAGTCAGCTCACATATATAAAGGTCTATGCACAGCTGAGGTCTGGCTAACAAGTCATATGTGGACCTAGAAGTGGAGGCTTTATGCCACTCAAGCTCCAGGGCCAAGATCAGAACTTATTGAGAACTGAAAAAACTGTCCACAACCCTAACATCTAGTGCATCACAAGACATTCATACAGAGTACTAAACTGTCAATGCCCCCCCAGAGCTTATACAAGTTGGACAATCCTGTTCTTAAGGGATTCTATCACAGCGATTTCTGTTGAAGCAAAATATAACCTGCTATATGGCTGGAAGCTGCTGGAAGGTCGTAACTCAGGTATGGCTGCACAGCTCACAATCAAGCTTTCTTCCCTACTCCCTCTCTATAGCATATCTCTTCTGTTACACAAAACTAACTTTCACCTACCAATATCTTCATGTGAGTTTGCAGGTGTAAAAAATAGATGATTTGCTTCTGCTGTTGGCTCAAATTTTGACAAACACATATGAAACCACACTGTGACTTCTGAAATGCTGAATCTACATGACTCAAAAAGCCATGGACTAAGAATAGAGATACAGCTTTCAACCACAGAGGCCCAAGGCAGCCTGCAGAATGTTAACTTGACATGGCTACCTGGACTGGGCAACAGTCTTGTGTCAATAGTTGCAGGTAGAAGCCCACTGGTCTACTACCTGGCCTGATCGCTAATGTTCCTCCCCAAGATAAGTGGCACTGGCAAATTCTGTCTGCATCATACTCCTGCTCTGTCATTCTTTCGTGGAATCTTGCATCCCAGAAGCCTTCATGTTGAGACAGCTAACTGCCCCCCGACACACGAGCACGCACACAGCTGCATTGTATTAGAGCAACAGTATGTTATGTGAAAGAAAAAGAAATCAAACCCAACCATGTGTCTAGTACAGATTTACTTTTGCAAAAATTATCAAATCCTATGCAAGGAAAATAAAAAAAAAAAAAGGGTTTTTGCTTGCTCATCATCAGATGATTAAAGTCAGCATAACTTCCTGTCTGAGTTCTTTTTGCAAACTTTTTGTTCACTTATTTTCCTGAATAAGGTAAAATTGTGTTGATTTCAATCATCCAATCATGTGCAAGCCAAATTTCCTTGCACATTATTGGGTATCCTTTTCAAAGAGAATCTTTACTTTGTTTCACTTTATTGACAAAGACAATAGGGGGTTATTCACTATTGAGCCGAAGGATACAGCCGTAGCTTCGGCTGATCCTTCGGCTCTCTTTGGCCGCCGGAGCCCTTTGGTTCAGTTGAACCGAAGGGCTGCTGTATGAGCTATTCACTATAGCCCGCACAGCAGCAGCTCAGGCGGCTGAGTGGCTCAGCCGAGCCGAAGGCATATGCTTTGGCACGACTGAGACGAGGTGACAGCCAAAACGGGGCGAACAGCCTGTCGAAGGCCGGCTGTTCGCCCTGCAAATGACAGCTGGGTGGAGCCAGCCGTGATCTCAGCACAGTTGTAATGACAGATCAGGGTCCCCAAATGACCCGGGAATGCTGATCTGTCATTAAACAATAACAACTGGGCAGAGCCGGCCGTGATGTCATGGCCGGCTCAGCCCAGTTGTTATTCATTGGCCAGGGACATGCTAGAAGACTCTAGCAGGTGCTGGCCAATAGGAAACAGTTGGGTGAAGTTAGCTGTCACTGCCGCCCAATTGTTTTTTTTTATTTTATTTTTTAAATTTGTTTTTTCATTTCACTATTTGTTTACATTTTTAAAATATTTTTCAACCTTTTTTTCCCACTCTTTTTCCTGATTTTCTACAGAATAGCTGAGCAGAATGCCGAATAATAGCTATGAGAATAGGGGCGAACGGCAGCAAGTGAGCTGCCGGAGCTTTGTCTCAGCTGATCCAGATGTTGGATCGGCTGAGTTGAAGTCCCTCTGCACTTCGGCAGCTTAGTGAAGAACCCTTATAGAAATATTCACTACAATTAGAATAAATGCTCTATTCCTTTTGTAAGCATGGTCTCTGACAAGAACTGAACCAAGAACCCCAGCTTTACAAAGCAAAAGTACTGACTATTAAGCCACAAAAATCACTTCTGATGCAGTATACATGTGCATGTTTGACACGTTACATTTTTATAAGCTCTGTATTACATAATAAAGTGACACTAAACTTAGGAGTTAAACTGTAAAAATGCATTCAAGTACCCTAACTATTAACAAAACTAGGCCTTATTTGTGTATCACTCGGCT